GGACGTAGGAGACAAGGTTTACCTATCGACCAAGAATCTGAAAAATCACCGCCCTAGCCGTAAGCTGGGGCAACAATGGGTCGGACCCTATACGGTACTGGAACAAATCGGACACGCCTTCCGACTAGACCTACCGAAGGGTTCCCAAATACACGATGTCTTCTCTCCAGACGTACTCATCAAGGCTCTGAATAACCCGCTGCCCGGTCAAGCAGCGCCTGAGCCAAGCAGCGAAGTCGTAGACGGCCTAGAGGAGTGGGAGGTCGAAAAGATCCTCGCCGTAAGGATCCGGCGAAAACAACTTCAATACCAGGTATCCTGGGTCGGATACGATCCGGACCCGGAATGGTACCCCGCCTCAAACTTTAAGAACTCCCCCTACAAAATCCGGGAGTTCCACGCGGAGTACCCAAACCTGCCAGGACCACCGCAGGACCTACCCGGCTGGATCACGGAATGGGAGACAGGCAAACCAAGCTACGATCACGAGAGGCACGGCAAAGCAGAGGAAAACAGCGTCGTTGCTACCTACGACACTAAACTAAACACCCTCTAAGCCAGGGCACCCTCAGAGCCGTAGCCCTTGCGGAAGCCACCCTTCCCAAACGTCTCACCGGCGTCGCAACAAGCGGCTACCACCATGAGAGACGAAGGGTCGAAGTGACCCCACGCGAAAGACCACGCCCGAGTTCCCTCCGGCACAGGGCCCGTTCACCCAATCGGGTTCTCCCCATTCCCCTCCTCCTCCTCCCCCCTCTTCCTCTTCCCGCCATTGCGGGGAGCCACCGCAACAGCCCCGGCCAACTTCCCCACCGCCTTCTCCACCTTCGCGACCGCAGTCGCCACGAAGCTCACCTCCTTCCCCACCTTGTTGGTGGTTTTATCCACCGTCCCCAGCAAGGAGACGGCGCGGGCCTGCCCCGCGAGGAGCTTCCCCGTATCCTCCTTCAACCCCTCCACCGCGGCGGCGAGGTCCTACCTAGGAGTCAGACCCAGAACAAGAACAACAGAAAGGGGAAAACTTACCTTGATGGCAGCGAGGGTGGCCAGCCCCTGAATGTACTGCGCCCCCTCAAAGGGGGAGCGCAGGGCCGGCATGGCGGCGCTGGAGAGGTCGGCCACGCGCGCGACCTCCTTGTAGGTCTTGAGGGTGGTGGCCGGGACGGGAGGGGTGGCCGCTTCGGCGGCGACGATGGCGGCATATTCCTCCTCGAGGAACCAGAGAATCTATCCCCCAGAAAGTCAGCACAGGAAACCAACCACCAGACCGAACAGCACCCGAGAACTCACCGGCACACATGGTGCCTTCTGCTTCACGCAGTAGGCGCACTTGGAGCTTTTCTCGCTCCAAACGCACTCGTGCTCCATGGGAGCATCGTCGGGTGTCCCAATACGGCGCACGCATCTCATACAGAGGACGCGGTACGCAGCCGGGAGGGCCCCGGGGGGCAGCAGGACGGGCATCTTCGCGAAAAGGTTTCCTACAAAACCGTCAGCCCCAAGCCCAGAAGTTATCACCTACGCGTCGGCGCGCAATCATCACCTACTCGGTCATCTGGTTTGTTTTGTTTCCTATGAAACAATCAGATTAGTATACAGTATACGAACAAGAGGGGCTACTTACTGGATTCGGGAGGTGGGTTCGTAGGCGGTGTTGTTGTAAAAAGAAGCCTTCGAATCCTGGGTGGAATCGGTTGCTCCATAACAACCGCTTAGAACAATGAATTTCTGAGGAGTAGTAGCGCGCGCACAGTAACTAAGAAACTTGCGACGCGCAACACCACAACTGGATACTATACGGTGCCAACTCGGACCTCAACAATCTGCTTTTATTAGGAACAAAGCACGCTCCGCGATCCATCCCACGGACGCATTCAGCACCACGATCTTCGAACAAAGACTACCTAGACCATACCGACACTCGGCTACCATTCGGTCGGCACACGGAGCCACGCGCTTTGAGGACAAAGCACTCTCTCAAGGGGGGGGGTAATGTAAGGATGCCTCCTTACACGGGGTACCCTCGGACCCGTAAGACAACGCGGAATAGGCGACATAGTAGTATAGCAGCATAGATGTTCTAGGGTCGGGGTCGATTCGGGCGGCAGACGGGAGTGGATCTACCGGTACGCTAAGGCCTAGCCGAGTCGGACCCCATTTAGGTACATAAGGGGTAGGAAGCTATAAGCTCCCCTTTCATCTTTTTTGTATCCTTCGTAGTAGACCTATAGGATAGAATACAGCATCACCTCCGACTCGCACTCCCATATGCACCTACGGAGAGCCGTATTCCCTGTGTCCTTACAAACACCTCCGTAGGCTGGTTGGTGGCTGAAACTACAGTGGCTGATCCCTGCAGCGTGCCCAGAGTGCTGGCTTGTGGTGGAGTGTAAGGAAATAGAATTGGAAATGGAGGGGTGGGATGTATATGAGATCGAACGTTGTTGTGATGGCCGTGAAGTCGTGAAGGCGAAAGAAGGTTAGGAAGGCGTAAAACAGGCGTGGGGTGAGAATAAATAATCATAATAATCATGACTAACGTACATGTATAACGAACCGGCCAAACAAGCGAACCGGCCAATCCATTTTACACCTTAAATCACGAATTTCATAACTTAATATCTCAACAACCCTTTAATAATAAGTTATAAAAATATGTACTTAGCCTTTTATAAGCATTTAAAGTACTCTATTTGATTTTTAAAGCAATTAGTATTGTAGTTATTAAGATATTGAGTTTTAGCCCCCACTTTTGACCTAATTCTTAGTATCTTAATAACTACAATACTAATTGCTTTAAAAATCAAATAGAGTACTTTAAATGCTTATAAAAGGCTAAGTACATATTTTTATAACTTATTATTAAAGGGTTGTTGAGATATTAAGTTATGAAATTCGTGATTTAAGGTGTAAAATGGATTGGCCGGTTCGCTTGTTTGGCCGGTTCGTTATACATGTACGTTATTCGAATAGTCAAATATTACATAAGCATGATTATTCATAATCATGAATATTCATGATTATGATTATGAGTTTTTATGAACTCTCTAGAAGTTTGTAGAAGTTTGTAGAATTCTCGAGAAACATTTCGTTTTTCTTATCTTATCTTATCACTTATCTAAACTATACCCAATTAGGTAATAACTAAGCCTAATAAAGTATAGATTATAGTCATGATTATAATCATGATTATGATTAACTAACGTACATGTATAACGTACATGTATAGCGAAAGCGCCAAACAAGCGAAAGCGCCAAAATGATGCGGTGACCAAACCCCCCAACTAAATGTTAAATTCCTCAACAACAAAACATGCCCCATAAAAACGATGAAAGCCAATTAGTGCTAGCTATCCAGGCTATGCAAAGCGACCCAAAGTTACGCCTTCGAGTTGCTGCTAGGATCTATTCTGTGGACCACCGCAAGCTAGGTCGTCGTCTAGATGGTGTACCTTCACGACGCGATATCCAAGCCAACTCACGGAAATTAACTAACCTAGAGGAGTCCGTCCTTGTTCAGTATATACTCGACCTAGCTGCCAAAGGGTTTCCTCCTCGGCTGTCTGTTGTTGAAGATATGGCAAGTCGACTACTTGCAACACGCGACGCGTCACGCGTTGGGTCGCGTTGGGCTTCAAACTTTGTTAAGCGGCGTGTAGAGCTCCAGACACGCTTTCAGCGCAAATACGACTACCAGAGGGCTAAGTGCGAAGATCCAGAAGTTATTAATGGCTGGTTTGAGCTTGTGCGTAACACAATTGCGAAATATGGTATTGATGAAGCAGATATCTACAACTTTGATGAGACTGGGTTTATGATGGGCGTTATCTCAACTGCTATGGTTGTAACAAGCTCAGACGGGCGGGCAAAAGCAAAGAAGGTACAGCCTGGTAATCGGGAATGGGTTACAGTAATCCAAGGCGTTAGTTCTCAAGGTTGGGCAGTACCACCATTTATCATTGTTGCAGGCAAAAACCACCTTACATCTTGGTATGAGAATAGTGGATTTTCAAGCGATTGGGTGATTTCTGTTACTGAAAATGGCTGGACTACAAACGAGAGAGGCATGGATTGGATTCAGCACTTTGAGAAGCATACAAAGGCCCGGAGTGTTGGTGGTTATCGCTTGTTAGTCCTTGATGGTCATGAGAGCCACCACTCAGATGAGTTTGAGGAGTACTGCAAGGAACACAACATTATTACGCTTTGTATGCCTGCTCACTCTTCTCATCTACTCCAGCCACTTGATGTTGGCTGTTTCGGCCCGTTAAAGCAGGCCTATGGTCGGCAAATTGAAGATATGATGCAGGCTCATATTTCTCATATTACAAAGGATGACTTCTTTCCTGCCTTCCACACTGCATTTAACACTACAATGACGGAAAGTAACATTTGAGGCGGGTTCCGAGGGGCAGGGCTTCTTCCATTTGACCCTGAGAGAGTGATATCTACACTTGATCTTAAGTTAAGGACACCAACGCCTCCAAGCTCCCGCCCAGGTACTGCTCAACCTTGGGTTTCTCAGACACCAAACAACCCAATTGAAGCTATGTCACAGTCTACATTTATTAAAACTCGGATTTCACGCCATCAAAATAGCTCTCCAACCTCAATCTATGCAGCTGTTGACCAGTTTACAAAGGGTGCATCGCAATAATGCATCAATTAGCACTGCTAAAGGGAGAGAACCAAAACCTACGACAGGCAAATGAAGTACTAAGCAAGCGCCGGAGAGCTAGGAAAACACGACTACAGCAAGGAGGATCACTTAGTCAACAAGGGGCGCAAGAGCTACAGGATGAGAGGGATGTTGTGCAGCAGGTAGAGCAGGAAATAAGGGCAAGCCGTGGTTGGAAGCCAAGGGAAGAAACCCGTGCCCGTCGCTGTGGCAAGTGTGGTGAGACTGGGCACAATGCGCGCACGTGTCAGATTGTAATAGACACCTCTGAGGAAGAGGACTCCGAGTAGTTTCAATTGATTTCTAATGTTGTGGTAGATTTATCGCAATGTTTGTCGTGAGGGTAGATAATTTTGGCGCTTTCGCTTGTTTGGCGCTTTCGCTATACATGTACGTTACATAATCATGATTATAATTGATTTTCTAACCCTGTTGGATAATATCCAGGATAGTAAATCCCCGTGATGAAAATAGGATGTGAAATCGCATAGCGAGTAATTGGAATGACCGTCGAGGCGTATAATAGATTGCTGTAATGAAAAACAGGTCGTAAAACCAGATAACAAATCGTTGAAAGTGCCATCAAAGCGCAAAATAGACCATAGTGCCGTGCGAAAACGGCCGTAAAATCATAACGAGCCGACGAGCTGAGAATAAAAACCCCAACTCATCAAAACGTTACGAATAGTCAACGGAGAAAACCCAAGCCCTAAAAGGTTGGCTCTCACATCGACGTGGTCCCTTGACCACAATAGCGCCAGCTCATCCAGTTCACCGAGCTGAAGGCCGACAAACGTATGCATAGGCGATGTCCGTGGACAGCCTTAACCCCTGGAGACGCGCATGTGGCGCATCTAGGGGGGCGGGACTAGTAATGGTATCCCATGTTATTTGGATGGAGACCCTCCTCCTCCTCCTCCTCATTCATCCTGCCGCCCACTGGGGAATCTGCATCACCAAAGATCCTATTAAATGTCGCCTTAAACTCCTCATGAGAGTCCTTGTGGATCTTTCCGATAAAGCAGACTTTAACATTATGCTCGACTGTGTACAACTTGGCGTAGTTAAGCCGAGATTCCCGTTCGAGCACGTGTTGCGGAGCTGTTGGGTCGACGCGGATGGGTGTGTTTAACAGGGGGTCCTCGCCTTCAATTTCCCTGGGGGGGTTTCGTGGGTTCTTGGACGATTTAACCGTGTAGATTATAGCATGGTGTTCTGGTTTGACACCTGGTTTGGTTGTGGCCCGTCGTCCATATGTGAGGATTGGGCTTTGGATGGTCAGTGGGGTTGAGGGGTTGGGGGTGGAAGACGCACAGGCAGATAGAATGGCCCTCTTGAACTCTGCAAACAACAAAGCGTCGGATCGAGGTATATGCTAGTTCCGCTGCATACCTAGTTTGGCTGACCAAACTCAGGTTACTGATGTTTCCCCTTTCACGCCCGTTTCCATTGCCATCAGGCTCAGTCCACACAACTTTGAACACCTAGTCGTTATTAGCAGCCAAAACAGACCATCTGAGCAGGAGACGTACACATCCTCGCTGAAATCTCTTGGATCCGTGGCATTTAAATTCTAATTGGTGTTAGCACAGCAAGCCCGACGTATACGATAGACAACTTGCCTTCCCAAAGTTTCAGTTGCGGTAAAGAGTCAGTCATCGTATCCTTTGCTTTAATGCGGCCGCTATTCGTGTCACTACCATTTCCGCAGCCTCTCCGGCTACGGTGCGAGTTGTTCGCAGGTCCGGTTGGGACCCGTCCTCTGGCATTCGAATTGGTAGGCTGGGCAGTGCTGGCATAGGATTGGGTTGCGGGGTTGCCTGCCTCATAGATGGTGCTTGGCCTGTATTTGGTGGAACCGTAATATGAGCCTGCTGAGTTCTGGGACAAGGCAGTTCCAGATCGGGGCTTTCCGTAACTGGCAACAGAATAAGCTGGGTATGTATGGCCCTGGGGTGCAATGTTTTCAGATAGAGCCATGCCAATCTCGGATGCATTGGGATCATACGTCTGGGCCTCAGGGCCGGGGGCGGTAGCTGTGAACATACTACTGTGGTCACCATTTGGCCTCTGGGGGTATGGAGACGAGTTTGGGCTGGAAGAATAAAGCAGATAACTTGCTGATCTCCCATTGGAGAGCTGGGGCGATTGAGATTCGATGTCACTCGAAGACGGCAACATATGTTCCTCCTGAGCAGCATCTTCATCTCCCTCAGCCTCGGGCTCATCCGGAGAAAGACTGGTCTGGGCCATGCGTTCTTCTAGGCCTACTGGCTGTGCTTCAGGAGGGTCACATAGCCCCCCATCCATAGTTTCCAGCTCTTGGTAGAGTTAGCATCCGCAGAGAACCTAATAACTCAAAGGTCGATGAGCCACCCTTACCTCCATCTGTAAATCGAGAGTTGACATAGCACCCTTTATCATAGTCATACTGCCATCCGAGCCAGCCAGTAGAGGCCGTCCTTGTACGACTTGTACGGCTCTTCTTCGATTTATCCTTGCCCATGTCCGTTGGTGAGAGAAGGGAGAGTGTGATAATAAATGCAAATAGTGAGGTGTATAGTTTCTCAGATGGAGATATGAGAGACGATCCACCCTACGGGGAAAAGGGCTGCTTTAAGTGCCTCTGCACACCATCTCGTCAGATCATTTGCGGATTGAGGCTCTTTCGAATCTCCCCCGTGTCGCAAAGGACGGAACGAGCCTCTGGAGATCGCGCCACACGTGTGGTATGTACGACACCCTCCCGTGCCTTCACGCAACCACCTTCGCTTTGGCCGATTAATGCTGGTCCTCTGATACTGCGGGGAAGGAGATAGGCCGTAGGTGCCCGACCCGATTCTGACAACACCCTGGGATGTTTGCTGTTGCTGTTTGCTCACATGGTAGATAGAGAGAAGAGGGTGTTGAGCTCACGCTAATGCATGCAAGCAGTAAGCTTCAGGCCCATGAAGAGAAGGTTGGGCAACGACGTAGGGCACATACTATACCCAAGTATGGTTGGAGATGTTGGAGGAGGTAGTGATATAGTAAGAAGTGTGGGGGAGTGAGGTAGGGATATAGGAGAGCGAGCGTGCATGCAATATTGCGTGGATGCATAAAGTACATTATGTGTTATGTAGATGTGTTAGACGTTAGATGTGTTAAGATGTGTTAGTTAGGCATATTTAGCATAAGTTAAGATGACCCAAGGAGGCAGGCCGGCCGCTGCGGGACGTGGACGAAGAGCGGGCGGGTGATTCCCGTACACCCACTCGAGATTAACCAATAGAGAACATTATAAGTTAACTTGAGATCTTTTCAAATTAGATTATGGCGGAGGGCCAATGGATAATTCGTATTTTGTAGGGACACCCTTGCTCACCGGTCGGCAGCAAAATGTTTGAAGCATTACAGGTATAAAGTACACGACGCTCGACGCATTGCTAGCCGATATCATCTATCGAGAAATAATATGTATTAGTTAGTATAATTCTGTACTACAGTGCCTCATCATGACAAGCAGATAGTCACCTGGGCTGCTTGGAACGACAACCAACGGAAGAACGAAGGGTCCACGAAAGGCGGGCAGACCGGTGTGGCAGTGACGGGGTTCATGCCCTTGCAAAGTTTCCATTCACCCTCCGTCCGCGGAAGTAATGGATCGGAGGCTCTTCCTCTTCTTGGATGAATAGCATACCTTCATAATCACGTAAGGCAACGGGGTTCGAGACACATCTCCCCCTGTTAGAACAGAGTGCCGCGACGATCCTACGCCCTCAGATTTCCACTGTCCGCCTCGTCTAGTTGTGTCGTCCAGGAGTCACGTCTATGTTTCGATCCTGCTGCTTGCCCATCATTCTGGCTACGTGTCTTCTGTTGAACAAAAGTTGCTGTGCTGCCTCCGGATCAGGGCGGATCACTTGAATGGCTTCATGTAAGACCTGGTGGTGCACAGTCGTACGTTGACCCCATCGCAACCACAGAAACAAAATGATCGAACGCCAGGAACACGAGCGCCTCGGGCCAAATGGAAACAACTATGCGAAGAAGGGCGCGACAACTCATATAGAGAGTCCAACGCCGCGCACTGGAAAGCAAGAACACGAACCGCCCAAGATCCGGCATTCGAGGCCAACGCAGCTCGATTTGGACATTCGCGGCTCCAAGAGTTCTCGGTCGCGTCGCAAGCGCGTTCGGAGTCGTAAGCCCAGCGTTGACGCCGGCCCCATGGCGTCAACAGAGAATGAGGTACAGACCAGCAACATCACTATGTCTGAAGGGCATCAGCAGCCACCTTCAAATGACGGAGCCCTCGACCAAGATAAGCTTTCGCTCGCTGGGCGATTTGGGTGTCGAGATCACGTGGACGACAACCCAACTACGCCAGATCTCTCAGCCCAACCAACGACTTCAGGTCCCATTTCAAATGAAGGTAGATAACTCTCATAATTTTCGCCCCTTAGCTTAGGCCAGAATTCTCATCCAATTGTGAGACCAACCGCCAAGAATACAGTACTAATGCCGATTCGCTCCAAATAACAGAAGTCGAATACATTATACTGTATAAATGTGTACTGGGAAGTTTGAGATATATTTCGAGAGATACTAACGTTTCCATAGATTCAGGGGCCGTCACGCCGAATCCGATCCACCCGCGAGGCCTAGAAGGTCGAGATATACCTTTCGTGGTCTCTCCATTGCCGCAGCCAACAACAGATCAGCACGTCCCTAGCTCCATTCTAGAACACAACACCGCATCAACCGGTCCGCTACACACTGCACCAAGCCCAGAACGGATCGGCGAGAATAGTGGCGCCGGTAGGGAGATTGTTGGTGAAGCAATGCCAACCAGCCGCGGTATTCCCGCTGCCGAACCCCTTTTAGATGGTGATTTTTTCATTTTTACCGAGTATACAAACCTTAGCGACGACGACTGCAATGAGCGTCCAGAGTTAGGCTGGCTGTATATTCAGGGTCAGAAAAAAAGAGGATTCATGGAATTGATCCCGTATTCGTTCAGTTCAGTGGAGCCTCCCAAGATGGCTAGCAAGCCCTCCAAAACAGAAGTGCAGAGGGTTGTAGAGCTGAGGCTGAATGTCCGTCGCCGCCGCCGTGAGATCCAAAATCTAAAGTCACTACTAAAAGCTAAAGATAAACAAATTTTTGCCGAAAACGAAGAGACTTTTAGACGTCTGAGAGAATTCGTGGCCGAACGTCATAAGCACCCTAAGGTTCACGATTCCAGATTGGAGCTAGCGTTGAGGCTATTCTCTGCCTCTCGATCAAGCCGAGATGAATGCGGACCGCTCAATGATGAAATAAGTTCACTTGAAGAGAGCCTAGAATTTGAAGAGATCAAACTGACACAAGCCGAGAATAGCCTCTATGAGAGTTTTGGCATTCCCCCGATGGAGTCGGGAGAGGGCCAGGAAAATGGCATTGCGATGAGTGGGCTTCCAATACCACACTCTTCGCCGATATCAGAAAGCGGACATAATTCAGCAAGCCACATCGATGAGGCCAAAGGCGAGAATGACGATTCAGACTATTCTACTGGCAGCTTCGAACAATATAGGAAAAATTATCACCCCCTTTATATTGAATACCAAGAGAATCGTGGTACCCAAGACAACCTGTACGAGAGGCGTGCCTATATCATGAAGGACAAGGCCAGGCTCGAAGACCAACAAGAAAACCGCCATCGAGTCGGGCTAACTTTGCTGGAAGACGACCAGAAATACCTAGATAGTCTCCCTGAAGTACTTCGTCTACTTGATGTCGAGATCGACGAATATTGCGTTGAGATCGAGCAGCTAAGGGCACAGTGTTTAGAGCAAGGAATTATTGACGAGGATGACAACTATATGGACGATGATCGCGAGGACTCCAACGTCTACGACGACTCCGATGACTCGGACAACTCCATGCCACCTCCACCTCCACCACCATTACCACTATCAGCACCACCCAAACCACCTTTACCAACACCACCACCACAAGTCAACATAACCTCCAATGCGCCATCCTCTATGCCGACCACGTGCCTCTCTATCATCGTCAGCAACCTCGGCATCCGCCTCGACGACCAATCCTACCAAAACCGCATAAACCCCTGGCTCTTCGGCAAACTCGCCGCCTCACGCACCGAGCTCACACTGCTCGCCACCATCCTCTCCGCCATGGGCGCCGAACCCGATATTGCCTCCCACCTTGACGTCCTCAAGCTGTGGGACCATGACGGCGCGGGAGCAGAGCCGCCAAAGCGCCCGGAGAAGTTGGATGAAGCGACGCTAAATAGACTAAGGCGCGTGACGAGGGAGGTCGTGCGGGATGGGTTTGATCGTGCGCTTGTTAGTTCGCTATTTGGTCTCTCTCTATGGGGTGGAGAGGCCTATGGAGGGAGTGACGAGACGACTTACCTCGATGATATTTAACCGTGGTTCCTTGGCGGGACACCGCTGTCTGCGCTTGGCGTGGTATCGGTATGGGCCACGACCGTCCCATTTACCATATTCCGAGGAATCCCTAAAGAGGGTGCAGCGTTTATGATTTCCCGTTCTTGGCCGTCTGCCCTTGCTTTATTTTCTCGACATTCCTTCGTCTGCGCTTCTTCGGCTCCTATCAAGACCGCGTCTTGATTTTTGGGCGTTTCTCGACTTCCAGATTTTGCGCGGGTAAGGCGCTCACCATGCATCATAGACTGTTCTTTTACTTCGCCCAACATACTGTCAAGTTTTATGTCACGTCAGCAACAAGTTGCGCTTTTCCTTTTTGCTCATGTCATCATTAATACTGCACACCTGAGATATTCGGCCCTCTTCGTTATCTGTCTAGATGGACGGGGGCTATCGTGCCTCTGCGTGGGGAGCTATTATTGCATTATTATCAATAAGTCATATATTATTGAAGAGGGCCGGAGACGTAGAGAGAGGCCTGCGGAGCGGAGATCGTTTAGATTGATACCCTGGGTTATTCTCTTCTTCTCCTGTGTTACCTTACTATTCGTTTTTCCTGGTCATAACCAGAGAAGGCGCGGACAGCATTATGGCGCTTGGTTCGTATGGAGTGTAATATACAGGCTGTTTACGCCGCGGTCGGCGCTGGAAAAGCATCGAATTTGGATTTAGATTTTCTAGGGACTTAGATTCGTGTCAGCGCATTTTAGAATACAGTACGCACTCAAATATTATTATTCATCAAGGCTACTTCAACATGCTTGAATTCTTGACCTATAAACCTCTCCTTTCACTAACATTACGGAGATGTATAGCGATTGTGCAAAACAAGCGAATATGCAAAAAATATCGCGACCGCCCTACCCCCCAACTAAACACAACAATTCTGTCGAGTATGTTTTTAACAAGGACTGATTCCTCTAGATTAGTCAATTTCCTTGAATTGGCTATAATATCGCGTCGCGGCTGCATACCGCGTAGCTGGCGAGCCAGCTTGCAGTGGTCCATAGAATAGGTCTTAGCTATAGAGTAAAGGCGTAATGTAGGGTCTCTTTGGATAGCTTGGATAGCTGAGGTCAACTCTCTCTCGTCGTTTTTAAAAGGCATGTTGTGTTGTGGCCTAGCTGCTAAAGGATTTTCTCTACGGATGTCTGTTGTTAAAGATATGGCAAATCGACGCGACGTGCTACGCGTCGGGTTACGTTAGGCTTTCAACTTTGTCAAGTGGCGTATAGAGCTCTAGACACGCTTCTAGCGCAAATACGACTACTAGAGGGCTAAGTGCGAGGACCTAGAGGTCATCCGTGGTTGGTTTGAGCTTGTACGTAATACAATTGCAAAATACGGCATCTATGATAGAGATATCTACCAGTGTGGGGAATAATATGATATCATAATATATTGTTAGAATTAAGGTATATGATATTGTCACCATATTACATCTTACGATATTGTATCACACCATATATCATGATATTAATATAGTGATATAGCAATATATTACAATACTAACAATATAGCTTGCTGTCATCTACTCCTAACCCATCGTTACTAATTCAATTATCTACCTAAGCTGTGCCTCCTCCCCTATACTAGGATTTTAGGCACTCTAATGCCTTAACTAACTCAACTCTAAGCCTATTCCTCCTTTTAGTAATAGTGAGAGCGGTACTAGAAAATAGGCGTTTAGGCTTAGCAGACATCGCTAGTATTAACAGTATGTCTAATGCCATCACTGTGATACTGACATTCGTTGCACTCAGTTTGCTATCAAACTCAAGAGCAAACTTAAAAGTCTCCTCCTCAAACCTACAAGTCACTATACATATTTTGGCTTATCACACCAAAAACAAGAGCAATACTACTCAATGATTGCTACAACCCTCTATGATTCATTACATGTCATCGCCCCTTAGTTACTGGGCCAATATTACCACATAGCATATCTCTACAACCCTCTATGATTCATTACATGACATCAATCATACTGTTACGGAATCGCAGGATGATGAGAAGAATCCTAAGAGTCCAGGACTCCGAGGACTCGAGTGAGTTCCCAGGAGTCCACTAGGCACGACGCCACTATATAAGTAGATAGTTAGTTCTTAGATAGGAGCTTCATGCTCAACTCAATACAGTATTTGTTATATACTAGTAACGTGTTACTTGAAGCCTTTGTGTCCGATCCCCTGCCTCCTCTGATAAGTAAACCTTTACGCAAGAGAACCTCTGTGTCTTCTATCGTTTAGAAGTCAGCGTTACACATACTACCACATGACATATCTCTACCAACTAGAGGCCTAGGAGCATGAACGATAGCTCTAAAAGCTCCTACGAACCTCTATGATTCATTACACGTCATCGCTCTTTAGTTACCCACAAGATTGGTTAAGTTATGACATAATTTGTCTATGACATAATTTGTCTATAGGGGTACTCTACCTTGGAGCTCCTTTTACTTCCTATAGGCTACGAACCTAAGAGATGGTTCTATGGGATTCTCTTATGTCGACTACAGTTACCAAGCGTGGTTAGTCATGGAAAGTCTTGGAAAATGAGAGAACTACACTCCTTTAGCATAAATAGGATTGCCCTTTCCTTAAGAAAGGGCAAGCAGACAATACAGTAAATCGACTATCACATACTTCCACGTCTTTTCCAAGCTTCCAAGCATTGATCTTGTTACTCCTTGTTTCTGAAAAGTCAGTGAGGTGTTAACCTCGGACTTATCCCTGAGTTCTCAGACTCAACATTTGTTAGAACTTGTCTGAACCACTTCACTACATCACACACCTGATTGCTGCGTTGTGGAATAGTCTAAGCTACAACCCTTTGGCTCTGTTTCCTAAGACAGTGTGTTGTCTTAGTAAATTCATCCCTTCCTTGGGTGGCTAGATTCTCACATCTGGTGCACCCACCATTATATATATGGTCCGACCCATTGTTGGCCCAACTTGCGGCTTGGGCGAGAGTTTTTCAAATTTTTGGTCAATAGGTACACTCTATCTCCTACGTCCCAGTCGATGGCCCTTCGGCATCGATTCGTGTGCTTAGACATTTCCTCTTGTGCCTTTGACATGTTTTCCTTCGCATGGACCCATGCGGTATGCATTCGGTCTGCAACCGCCTTGGCTTCATCTCGGTTTAGAGTCTCCCGGGGGTTGGTGCTTTTCGGGGTGGAACACGTACACGGATCAGTTCCATACTTGAGTCGGTAGGGGGTCATGCCAATGGATGAGTGGGGGAGTGTCATTTGCACGCGGTCCATTATGGGGATAAGTTTGCTCCAGTTATCCTGGTAGGAAGATATGAAAGGCCTCAGTCTCTGATCAATATATCGGTTCATGATTTCTGTCTGTCCGTCGGTCTGCTTATGATAGGCAGTCGACAGCTTAACCTTAACGCCGATAATTCGACAGAACTCCTGCAAAATGATGATACGAATTGGGGTCCGCGGTCGCTTACAATCGACTCCAGAGTGTGTCCGAATCGGTATATCCATTTGATGAACAATTGTGCCATTTGCCGGGCTGTTGTGGTTTTGTAGCAAGGTATGGTCACTGAACTCTTTCCGAGTCGGTCCATAAACACTAAGATGCTGTCGTATCCATGCCTATCCCTTGGGAACTCCTTGAAGTCCATGGTGAGGTGTTGCATAGGGTATTTGGGTACGGGCAATGGGTGTAGGAATCCTTGTTGCTTAGTGACATTGGTATGAGAAAGCTGACATGTCACACAATTCCTCACATAGCGCAAACAATCCGCTTCCATCCCGACCCAGTGGTACTTCGGGGCAATCAATTAATAGGTTTTCCCCCCGCTAGGATGTGCCACCGACACCTGGTCGTGCGCTTCTCGGATTAATTTCGTACATAGCTCGGTGTGGCGATTTACACATAGCTGGCCTTTGTATAGAAGAAGCCGGCCGTTCAACGTGAACCCGTTAGGTAGGGGGTGTTTCGCACGTGTTTCTGTAAACGACTCTCTGTTGTCCTCACATAAAGCCTCTATTAAATCGAAAGGCATCTGGGGCTTGGGGGTGTCCATCGAATTAATGGATGCTATGTAGCTCTCAGCGAGTTCGGTGCTGATTCGGGGGTGCAGGCGGCTTGGACCTAACAACACCCTCGCCCTACTATCAAGCTAGACTTTCTGCTGCGTTACCATGTCTTGGTCTCTTCGGCTCAGAATATCTGCCTTCTGGTTATTCTTGCCCGCGGTGTACATAATGCAGAAGTTGAAGTCGGAGAGTAGCTCCATCCATTGAACCTGCTTCGCGGTGAGAACCTTGGTAGACATGAAATATTCCAGCGAACGGTGGTCAGTGTACATGTCGACTTGGTGGTGCACCGAAGCCAACTCGGGCCCCCATTTTCCGAAGGCCTTTACTATTGCGAATAGTTCCTTGTCGTGGATCTCCCATGTCCGGATAGGACATGACTGTAAAAGCTTACGGGGTACCATCGCTTGTCAGGGTGTTCTTGAGAGAGGACACCAGCTACGACTCCATTGGAGGAATCTGTCTCCAGCTTCGTAGGCAATTCGGGGTTGAAGTGGTGAAGTGGCTGTACTGCTAGGAGTTGCCGGCGGAATTCCTCAAAAGCAGCCTCGCATTCATCTGTCCATCGGAACGGCTCCGAGGGACTAGTGATGATGGTGAGGGGCTTTGCTATTTTGCCAAAATTGCGAATGAATTGTCTATAGAAGCCACAGAATCCCAGGTAGGACTTCACAGCCGTAACAGTGGTTGGTCGGATCCAGTTACGAAGGGGTTCGATTTTGTCAGGGTCCGCTTCGACACCAGAGGTAGTGAGAACATAACCCAAGTATTTTGTCCTGGTGATGTTGAACTCGCATTTGTTCAAATTAGCTTGGAGTCCAGCTTCTCAGAGACGCTGTAGGACCTTATGCACATGCTCTATGTGTTCCGTAGGGTCTCTGAATAGATTAGGATGTCGTCTAAGTATGCGGTACAGAAGTCGTCTAAGTATTTGCATCAGGACGTCATTCATATACCGCTGATAGGTTGCGGGACCGTTCGTCAGTCCAAATGGCAGCACTTTGCACTTATAGGATCCATAGCGAGTCCGAAAGGTCGTGTACTCTTCCGAGTCGGGGTGCATCCGTATGCGATGGAAGGCTTGTCTGATATCTAGCTTCGTGAAGATTTTTGCTTTCGACACCCATCCTAGTAGTTCGTCGATATGCGGGATGGGGTAGGGATCATTCCCGGTGAGGCCATTTAACTTCCGGTATATTTGCCATCCACTTTCTTTACGAATAGGATAGGGGATGCAAAGGGGCTGTTGCTGTTGACGATAAAGCCTTTCTCTAGGTTCTCTAACAGATATTGCTTGGTAGCCTTAAGTGTAATGCTGACTTCTAAATGATAGAAGACACAGAGGTTTCTTGCGTAAGGTTGACTTGACAGAGGAGGCAGGGGATTAGACACAAAGGCTTTCCAAGTAACACGTTACAGTATTGTAGAGAATACTATATTGAGTTGAGCACGAAGCTCCTATCTAAGGAAATACTATCTACTTATATAGTGGCGTCTTGCCTCATGGGTAATCTGGATAGTTGGCGGATAGCTAGATATTCAGGATAGTTCGTGGATAGCTCAACTATCCAATATCCACTAGTTTCTGCAACTATCCATTAGCCCCGTCACATGACAGCCTACCCCGCTTCCCACTGTGACTCACACGTCACGTTACTAG